AAAGATAGGTTGAAGAAACAACAATGCACATTCTTGTTTCAATATAAGTCATCTCTGTTGATAAAAATACAATTGTAGAAGGGAATTAATGCATCCAAAATTTAATGGAAATCATCTATAGAATTTATCCATAATAAGGAAAAGTGAGGAGGAGAATTTAGCACCTTTTCAATTTCTGTGTATGTCTTTTATTCACTTTTGAGAAGTTAAGCTCTGTGCTGCACATTTAAAACATCTCCAGTTTTTGATGGAAATAAAAGCAGATCTCGAACTGATCTCACCAGCCCAGCTGTTTTTAATGACTACTACACTGTTCTTAACTAAACACCTTATTTTCAAGTTTTTAGCACAGAAATACTGTCAGCGGTCAGTCTCTTCTTCATCCCAGCTGTACAGCTGAGTGCTCCTCTGAGGAGATGCACTAGCGCCATTAACATTTCCATTGGCATTCCACCCTTGGGCATGGGCACCATCACAACACTGCCAATAGTTCGACCTAGTTTAGGATTTGCTTTTGCAGAATATACTAGATAGGTTCTTCTGGTGTGCAACTATTTAAATTTGAATTGGTTATTAAGACTGGAATTAAGCACAATTTGCATGAGAGTAGGTGAAAGAGCCTGAACCAGTTAGCTGACCGGTTTTTAGCAACATATTTTAGCAAAAACAAAACAAAGGGGGAATATACAGCAAAATCAAAAAACTCCAAAAGTTTGATTTTGTTTTGTTTTGATATCAATATTTAAGGCACTATATAATAGACTCAAGGCAGTAGGTGAAAAGATAAAATACTGAAAGTAAGAGTAAGGGGAAAGAAAAATAATTGAAAGCCAGATGGGAGGACAGTGTCACAGACACCTAAGAATGAGGAAGTTACCTAGAGGTTAAATTCCTCCGTTGCTGTTTGCAAATACTTGAAAGGGAAAATTCTTTCAGAGAACACAAATTAGTTAAACTTAGTCAAACTCAAAGAGTTTACAACTATGCTGATCACAATGAAAGAAAAGATGGGATAGTGCTTCTGCTAGGTTCAAAGTATTTCTGCATTTTTAAATGAAAGTGTTAGTTAGTCCCTTCACCTTTTGTGTGTGTGTGTGTGTGTTTGTTTTACATTTCTCATTTAAGTCTAAAGCACGTTTACAGTGAAGTATCATAACTGATGTAAACAAGTAATTTAGGATTTTTCTCCACAGAGAATTTATGATTTTGGATAGTTTATTTCTAGTAAAGATTTTTAAAAATCTGTTTTGCAAAACAGTTCTGTTTCCCTCCCAGCTCACGTTAGTATTTAGCAATAAACAGAAAAGTATGTGGAAGCTGGCAGTAGGTAAGTGAGAGTGGAATAAAGGAAATAACACTGTGCGGTAGGGGATAGCAAGTTTTCCAAGAGGCCTTGCTTATCAAAAGTTTGTTCTGCCTCTACCTCCATCTAGCTTCTCCAAAAGCATAAAGCTAGTTTGGAAGAGTATTTGCGAAAATGTTGTATAGTTACAATTACCTCCATATTAGAAATTCCATTTTGTGAAGTCTGTGGGAGTAGCCAGTCTGAAATAATTGCACAAATTCCTGTATTCTCCTTATCAAAGCGGGTATAAATATAAAACATATTTTTGTTAAAAAAGGATTGAAAGTAGTATAAACTTGAAAAAAGATGTATACATTTGATGGAAGTAATGGAATTAATAACTGCTTTCTCAGCTCTGAAGGGATACACCCAAAACATGCACTGAGTAGCACTAAGACGTGCAGAGCTGTTTGTGAGGACAACTCAGTTGTCTGCTGAACGTAACTGGCTAAAATGTAAGGATCATTTAGGAAGTTAGTCAGAGGTTTGCAAATATGCATGGCTGTTTGCTGCTGAACTGAAGCACTGGGACACCTCTTGAAGTGTGGGTTGTCTGTGTATCTAGCCAAACAGGTCAATGAGGACAGCCCAGGACCGCAAGCTGTAAAGGACATGTTCTCATGTGTGCATGTCTGGCCCTTATGTACAAAGCCATAAAAGAAGATGTTTTGCAGACCAAGGAAGCCTCTTTCTAATTCCTGTATGCTTCTCAAACCGAAACACTGATTTCAATCCATTCCTAACCATTCCAATCTAAACCAGAAAATTCTTCTTCAGAAGATAAGAGTTTTCATGTCTTGAGAAACTTACTTCATAGACTATATTGTATCTATTTCCTGAAAACATATTCCCATGTAATGACTTGTAGTGATCACTGAGACTTCAAACTGGTTAATTCACTGTGATTTGATTAATATATTTCAGAGGTACACTGACATGATAAAGTGATTATACCAGCCTAGTGATCCAGCAATCTTTGAAAGCTAAGCTTGCTCATCAGCAATTTTATCCTATTAAGATAGCTTTATAAATTAGATTTTTTAATAAAGTTCTTACTTTACATGATTACAATTTATGTATTTGCCAAACTAGTATATTTTATCCTTTTATTTTCATGGTTTCACCGCAATAATTACATTCTGTTGCCAGTGTGGAATGCATGTAGGCAAGGGACAAATTGGCTTCCTATGTTAACAAGGTGAAGAAGGTGTCTGAAATGACAGCTAAACAAATTCCACTCTGCAATTATTTATTTCATTATTTTGTTGCCTGTGAAATGGCCAGGCATTAAATACTCCTACTGAGTGGCTGGGAAGTATTCCAGAGTTTTTAAATAATTCTATTGCCACCTTGTAGAATATTTGATTTTACACCAGGACTCTGTACAGATTCTTAAAGGCAGTCTGTTGGTATGTACTTGTATCAGAGTACCTAAGCTGTCTTGAGAGACAGCTTAATTCTTGATAGAATTAAGAACCTAAAGGGTTTGTGTGCTTTTGAAATCTCAGTAAGCTGAGATCTCACCAAGCTGAGATTTTAAGTGCCTAAATTCCCCTAAAATGCTGTATCTATGTGTTGAAATTTAAGGAAAAACATACAAGTGATACTTTGAGGACTTTAACAAACTGTTTAGAATTGATGTATCTTATGTTCTAGGATGTACCAGAAAAAATAAAGTCAGTTAGTAGTTTGTCAGCTGTGGAAATCTGCAGCTGCACACCTGCATTTTTCCTGGAAGCACTGGAGACCAGTTGCTGAACTCTTGAATTGTGGTGATTATGTAATCTTGTGTTTCCAGACAGCATTTTCTTCAGAAAAATGTTACTACCTTATTGGTCAGTCACTACAGCAATCAAACTAGCTACGCGTTACCACGCGTCCATGTATATAATGCCCCAGAATGTTTGTTGATGCCACAGTAGTGCTCTTGCTTTGGTTAAATGTGAGGATTGCTCACTGTCATGTAACAATTGGGACATACCAACTGATGCAGTTAAGGGTTGCAAAAAGAAATGCTCTGAGACAGTTGTCTGAAAAATGTGAAATATCAACCCCTGTAGTTTTTATCACACAAGTTCTCTCAAACTCAGGCACATCATTCATTTTGTTTTATATAAAATGTCTGACACACGGGGCTATGACGCATCACAGTCTAATGATCAGGTCAGGAAACTTGGCAAGCTGTTTTTCCTTGAAAGGGAGGACTGCATAATAGTATTCGTGATTGCTGTTTGTTCAATAAAGTTTTCAGTCTTCCAATTTATTTACTTTCAATTTTGGTTTCAGTTCATTTAACCTTCAGAAAACATTTGTGCTGTCTACTGCTTACAACAGGAAGACTCTAGCAGCCCCTTTACTGCATTTATCTCTTGCTGTGGAGCTGTGATGTCTGCAGTAATAAATGTATCCGTTTGAAATAAAAGTGATTAAGTTCTTGTTGAAATGTCTTCTGGAACAAAACATTAGCTTTTGATTTCAAAGGGCAGATATTGCAGAAGATAGCACTTAACCTGGCCAAGGACAGTGTTATGCTTAAACGTCGCTTTTCTGCTTGCCTTTATGAAACAGCAAGGATATCTGCATTCAAGCACTTCAGTTTCTTAATACATCAAAACAAGTATCTCTGCAGAATTGAAAGTAGGATGACTGTATCTATTGCCTTATTTTTAAAAACATTCCCCATCCTACCAATTTGCTGTGATTTATTTATTTGAAATTTTAAATCTGAAAGATACAAGAAAGGAAAAAAAGAATTGGGCAGGAAGTGGTATTTACACACTGGACTTCTGTCTTCAGAGACACTGATTCAGCTAACTACATTTTTGAACTAAAACAGAATTTGACAATCTCACAGTAATCTCTGGTTATCTGGCTCAGAAAATCATGTGAATTTGACACTGATACTCTCACCTTGAAAGTACAGTGTAACTGTGGATGTTGCTTTTCAATACTGATGTAGATAAGCGAAACCATATAGGTCCTCATTTTGCAGAATACCAGGGGAAAAGCTTCAGACTAAATAAAACAGGAAGCATGGAGAAGATTTGGGTTGTCTGCCCAAATCAAGAAGACAGACTACTTGAACTGAGTTCATGTGTATGTGTGTACAGAGCACAACAGAAATCCTGCTAGTACAGTGAAGGTCCCGATGCATTGAACAGGACTTTCTAAATACTAATACTTAATAATGGCAATTGAATCAAACCATTGATAATACAATATAATGTCTAAGTTCTATGTATTTTCTTAATTTGAAGCTAACAAGGATCCCCAGTAACTGCTAAAACATCCCAAGTACCTGCAATTTTGTGTTTTTAAATGTCAATAAAGACACTGGGAAACTAATCTTATGTATTAATAAATGTGAAAATACAGAACAAGTACTGAATTGTCTGATTTTTCTGTTTCATCCATGCCTTGTTCTTGACGAATGTGTGTTAAAATGCCTCTATTTATCAAATACATTGTTCATGTATAACGTAAGTATCACTGTTGTTTCACACTTTCATTAATTTTAATGATATGTAAATTACAATAGCTTTTTTTTCCCATGAGTGAAATTTGGAAACAATGCAATTTTAAGAGTATGAGATATGACATTAGTCACCAGACAGTAAGTGCTAAGTAATCTTTTCTCTTGCATTCTGTCTTTCAGATTTGTGATAAAGAATGGCATTACTATGTTGTCAATGTTGAGTTTCCCGTTGTTACGTTATATATGGATGGAACAACATATGAACCTTATCTTGTGACCAACGATTGGCCCATCCACCCTTCACACATAGCCATGCAGCTGACAATTGGTGCTTGTTGGCAAGGTAACGTGTCAGCAGATAGTAGATAGTATAATTTTGAATTAAGAACAATGAGCTTAATTTGTCTCACTGCTTGTATAGTAAATCAGTTACTAAAAGGTTTGTGGTATGAAAACAGAAGTAAATCCAGAGTTAATAACTAATCAAGTCCAAGGTTAAAATGGATAGGACGTTAGCAGGCTTTGCATTTCCATCTTCTAAAGAAGTATTGAATCCATTTTGTATATTTAATGTGAAAGACTATTTTCTTTATCTTTCTCTTCACTATTTTTAATTACTTCCCTTGGTCTTCAACTTTAAGCAAACTATCTAAATATTATTCTAAAGAACTTAATCTCCTCCTACAACTCCACCTATCTCCTCCTTTCAAGTAAAGCCAGAAGTCACATCCCCAAAGTCATACTTGTATGGGCCTTAACTTAAGTATTAATTTTCCCTGTTTTCTGCGTTTGTAATACCTCTCTTCTCATTCTTTTGTCTTGTCTTTATCTGACTGGCATCTGTTTTTTTTGTTTGTTTGTTTGTTTTTGTGTGTGTGTGTGTGTGTGTTCTCTGCTTTATACTTGAAGCAGTCCTCTTTTTCTGCTCATCTGCTCACATGGAGTTCTCTTCCTTACCCTTCCGTGTTGATCTCTGTTTATGCTGTCTTGTTTTCACTTAAGACAACAGCAAATTATGAAGTGAAGCAAGCTACAATTAGGAAAAAATTCTTTCGTAAAGATTTCTTCCCCACTCTTTAATGTTGGTTCTCATTCTCTCTTCTTGTTACCTTGATTGCTAGTTTGATCTCTGCTCACTTAAAATGTTTTATTAGCAAAATTTGGAGATTTTATCTATGACAGAGCTATTCAGTGTACATAATATTAGAAGCAAGTTCAGCTGTTGGATTATGAACACCCTGGGGGTAAAGATCCAGTCTTTACTTCAATGACAACGTGCAGAATAAAGCTACACTAGTCCTAAAACCAAGATTTGATAAATATTGATCGCTCAGATAAGTATTATGATAGCTAGCTAATCAGCATGACACCAATCCTATACATTTGTACAAATATACACTGATCCACTGATCTTGCCTAACTGGTATTTGCAGGCTTCCATCTCTGAAGGATGAACTTTGTCTATTGGAATGTTCCATTAATGTTGAATATGTAACAGAATACATTTTATTCCAAGGTGCTAAGGCAGTTTTATTCCATTTTTTAGCTAGAAATACGGGGTGAAACACCTACCAAACAGTTCACAAAACAGAACTTGGTTTTAGACAACAGTTAACTGGGACAAATAGTTGACAGACACCAACACAATTTACATGAAGTTTCTTTTTGGCTGAAAAATCTGAGAACAGGACTTCAAAGGAGATAGAATAGAACTTTCCTGGGATCTGTCAGGAACTGGCTAAAGTCTAATGCAACCCAGAAAGTCACTGACTTAACTAAACGCAGCCCTGGTGGCTAGATTCCAGCTTTAATGACACAGTGGGCAAGAAGAAAGCAGTACAAAAATCTTTTTGCATTTTGTTTTGACATTATCAATATGAATTTTTCTCTCCTTAAAATTAGGTATTCTAAATGTTATTCTCACCGAATCTTCCTTTTTCATAATTTAAAAGCCCTTTCTTTTTTTTTTTTTTTCTTTTTTTTTTTTTTAGGGAGTTAATTTACAGGGGAAGATCTAGGCAGAGCTACCACACTAATTAATTTAGGGTTCTGTTACAATGTCTAGCAAAAATCTCCCTGTTTTTAATTTTGTGTAGGTCATGCTTGATACTGTTCTACATTTGTGGGGGTAGTTAATTTGAGGGTGGGAGTTAAAGGGTTATCTTTAGGCTAAATGGTGTGGCTTCTGTCCATTTAATACATAGTATGTGTGACCCAAACTGGAGACTTCTGAGCTGTGATTTCAGTGATACTAGGATGGGAAAAAAAATAATACTGCTACAGAGCTAAGCAAACTGAGCTCTTAGTGAACTGAGTGTAGGGACGAGTGTTGTGGACTGCTGGTACACCTGTTACTTAGGTTAGGCCTTTTTGTATCCTGATAGATTTTAACAGCTTCTGCTGCAGATACCAAAGGCTGAGGATTTTACTTAATTTTATTTTCTTTAAAAGGACTTTCTTGTTCAGATCAGTGGTCTCACAGATGATTGTCAAGGGTGCAACTTTGAAGTAGATGGGGTTATTTAGGTCCAAAGTGCTGTTCTGTTTCTAATGGTAAAATAAAACTTGAGGTAAAATTGCTCTCTTCTCAAGGGTATTTAAAGGACAAAATTGACTTCTTTTAAGTGTGCTTCCAAGAACGAAAGAGACACGGAAGGGAACATGAGGGAAGTGTGTGACCCTGGCAGTGACTCTGAACCCAGCCCTGCTTCTCATAACTACCTCCCTGAAGGGATATTGAAGCAGACATGGTCAATCTGGATCACAGAAACCTCCTCAAGGCTCACCTTCTGCTCTTGTTTCAGGGCACCTCAGAAGGGCAGAGTATGGCACTTCAGCAAATGCTGCTGAGACTAGGGTGTCATGTATGGCCTGTGATGACTGGGACAACTGTGACATTGTGACACACGTATTGGACGTACATATTAGAGACAATACGTTTGATTAATTAATTGTTAATCTGGCCATCAGAATGTACTTTCCATGACAGAGAAGCCCCATCCACATAAAACTCTTCTACTGTAGCAATAAAAAATAATGCTTTGCCCATAGATCAGGTCTTCTAGCTCTAGATTCTTGGGAACTTCCCAAAAAGTGAAGAGTTCTGGAGCAAGGAATTATAGTTATTCTTACTATACAAGAATGAAATGCTGCATCAAGTGGGTAGGAGAATTTTCCTCAGGTCACCCAAAACAAATCCACATCAGAGCAAGAACAGAATCAGACTTGGTCACTGACTACCAAATTGTTCTTATTCACCCTTTTAGCATTTGCAGTTCTGTTTCATTCTTCTAAGCAATGTGAACAAACAGATTAAAATTAGCTTTTCCTCAAACTGCACTTTCCAGGATCTTACTCTAGTAACTTCGCCTCTAAGTTCATTATTTTTGATTCAGTTTATCTGAGAACATAGTAAATGAACCCTTTTAGAGAGTAAGAAAACTCCTCCATTAAACCATGGTTTATATGGTCTCACTCTGATCCTTTTGTTGCTAATCATTCAGTGGCAAAGGCAGTCAGAAAAAGGCAGCAAATTACATGATTTGGTAGTCTAATCTTTTTTTGTACCACCTACTGCAAACAGATTTCTTCTAGGATTCTTTGAAAAGATAAGGTCTTAAGTTCATACCTTTTCCCTCCCACAGTGTTTTTGTTGTTGTTGTTTTGTTTTTGGTTTTGTTTTTGTTTTTTTTTTTTAAATGTAGCATTCCCAAAATCCTGTCAGGAAAGCTGTGACACAAATTAATGACTTGTCAGAAGGTTATACTGTAGCTTACCATGACTGTAAGTCATGTAAGTCATTATTTCTAATAATGCCAGCCATTGTGGAGTGCTGGAGGGCTTCACACTGCAATTAATTTATGCCAGCCACAATATGCAGGGGAAGATCTTTAGAAGAAGCCTGTTAACAGGCAAACACTGTTATTGTGAATGTAGCAGAAGGCTATTGCATCTTCTGGTTTCTAAGCAATTTCTGGTTTGTTTTTTGTTTGTTTGTTTTTGTTTTGTATCCTCCTGTCATTTTCCTCTCTCCTTAATCTATGCTGGAAACCAAGTTTTTATGAAATACTTCTGTGGAATAACCTTATCTTCTAAACACTCTGTTGGCATGCCAATCACGAAGTTGCAGTCAGAGAACCTACTTACTATTAAAGACGAGAGGTGTGGTAAGAATTCGAAGTTGGAGAGGGATCAGAACACTGAGGGCCACGCTGTGGGCACTGCAGAAGCAGCCTGTGTCACTCAGTGTTGCATGTCCCCCAGAAATTAAGATGTTCTGCAGATAAAGATTACTCCCTACTGCATAGCATAACCCCGGTGGATGCTGCCTTGGGGGTTGGCATAGGCTGCACCAAACCAGGGCATCAGTGGAGTGAGACAAGCAGACAAATTAATGCAAGACCATCTAGGTAGATTTCAACATAATGTGACTGAATGTCTGTATACTACTGCTTGTTAGTGCAGCAGTATTCTTTCTATTGATCTTCTTCTTATCAAAACTTCACTGGGATTTTGGCTATTGCAGAACTACAAACATATGTGAAAGGTTATTTTAGGGGGGTGGATTGCTTTTCTTATCTTCAGAGAAATTATCTTAAATAGCACAAGTTAAACAAAGCTTTTGATCTATAGACATATTGGATATAGAAAATTAGCATATGCGTACTTAAGAGCAGGTAGCCTTTAGCATTCTCTGTACTTGTCCTATTTCACATAATGCTTTAAAGCCTAAAGCTGTCTGTTTAAGGTCATCAGGTTATGATGTCTACCAAGAGCAGAGGCAGACTGAAATAGGGCCAGGTTTGATCAATAATCTTCTGGGTAATTTCTAGCTGAATTTTATTAAAAAGCAAAAGAAACAAACCAAAAAACCTACAATATGTGTGTGTGTGTGTGTTTGCACTAAGAAGCTCAGGGAGTATAAAAACTTGAGTCTGTAAGTATGTCTTACCTGAAATCTATGTTAGGTTTCTCCTGTTTAACAGCAAATCTGCTTGACAGGGAGTTAAATCCAGCTCCCTAAACTGCTGTTAATAAGGAGATGGGATAAGTTCTGGGACTTGGACCTGAGGCATTCAGAGCCAGACTGTCTTGCAGCAGCTCCCTGATTCACTTCAGCCTTTCTGTTGGGACCCTGAATAATCAATCATTCCTTAATTATCTGGCTCAGTAAAACCAGAGTCTATAATATCTTAGAAGAATCACATTGCAGTTGGAAATTCTCTTGATTCATCGTTTCCAGTGAAAACCTCATGTGCTTAGACTGCCTTGATAATTACTTGCTCATTATTAAGGTAGGGCAGAAAGGCCTAAAAGAAGATCTGTGAGCTTAATAAAGTGACT